CTGTGCATGTGTGTCAAGGACAGAAAGGCAGATGTGGCAGTGGAAGGTGTCAAAGCAGTTTGGAGAGAAAAACAAAGTAAAGAACAACAAAAAAAAGATTAATCGATTATTAAATTAGTCATCGATTATTTTAATAAGTTGTCGATTAATCGATTAATCGTAGCAGCCCTAATTATGATTCGATCTCTGACTCATTTTTTTGTTTCTGTTTGATCGTGACTCAAAATAACCTAAAATATGCGATTCCTCTCCACAGTCTGGGCTGTTGAGMATTTTAGCTTAGCTTTGTTTTCATGCAGACATTCCTCTTTGACATCACTTCCTGTTACCTCACATGACAATATCTCAACAACGGTTCATCTCAGCAGCTTGAAAATTAGTTTCTATTATGTTCTCGGTGTTATCTTTCCAAAAATACATTTGTAATATTAAAATTTTTTGATGTCACAGGCACTTTAAGTGATAAGAGTAAGGATCGAATATTTGACACAACAGCCTGCCGTACATTTGGCTCCATTGTTGATAGAAAACAAAGAGATGTGTCAATCTGTTCTCAGCGGCCCTCACCGTCTCGTATTCGCTCCGCGAGAGCGTCCGCGCTGAAGCCAGCGAACACCACGTTGTGAGCGGCTCCGATGCGGGCGCAGGCCAACATGGACGCCACGGCCAGGGGGCAGGTGGGCATGTAGATGGTAACGCAGTCCCCCTTCTTCACGCCGTGCCGCCGTAACAGATTCCCCACGCGACACGTCATCTCCAGCAACTCTCTGCAAACCACAAACTGATGAGCTTCACCACGATGGGTCAAACTTGAAGGCTCTCGGGCCAGATGTGGCCCTGTTTATGAACTTTTTAGGCCCACAGGATATTTTCAGTGTCCGTCACTTTGTCATCTTTCTCACTGCAGTAGTTAGTCAACGTTAAATCTGAGGAATCCAAGTTTGAATTATTTTAGTGGTGTTTGATTTTTACATGATAAAAGCAACAAAAAAAAAAAAAACTCTCAAACGGGACCCATCAAACTCCTGCTAATGAACTTAAAGCCAAGTAAAAAAATTTTTTAAATAAACAAGAACAAATATAATTATTAGCATGTTGTTGCTTCATTAAGGCATAAGCATAAAGTAAAAGTTCATCTGTTAAATTTTAACTGAATTACTTTCATTATTAAACTATTGTCTAGTTAATTATTATTATTATTATTATTATTAGTTAGCTGTTTCCTCTTCAGAGCAGAAATAAAAGTAAGTTAGTTATTAAGAAGCTCCACCATCCCAAACATCTCAGTTTTTATAAGAAACAGAATCAGACAGAAACCCAATCAAACCCCAGATTAAACATTTCAGTTTTCTCATAAGTTCTTTTCTTTCCAGATCTTTTCTTATTTAAAATATATATATTGTATCAGTAGAACTGATCGATGATTTAGGTTGAGCATTAGTGCAGTTTTTCTATCATGTTATTGTAAAATAAATAAATGATCAAATGCGGCGTTATCTGCTTCGGGTGGAAAACAGATCTAGTGTAAATGCTGTTTGGTGCTAAGATCTGCCTCTTCATCATGTTGGAGTTACTTAAGKTTTGTTTAGTCAGCAATTTTGCTCCAGAATATTGTGTTTGTGACATTAGATTACAGAGATTGTTGTATTTTATGTGAACTTGGGCACTGACCTGTAGGTGTATCTGACCTCTGACCCCTTCTCATCCCTCTCCCAGATCAGGGCCACCCTCTCTGGGCATGTGTGCACGTGGCGGTCCAAACAGTTCACTGCGCACACACAAACATAAACACAAAGGGTTGTCTCATTGTCCCAGTCATCAGCACGTGATGCGTTCAGGGCACTGTTTGTTCTACAGCAGGGGTGTCAAACTCCTGTCCTCGAGGGCCGCTATCCTGCACGTTTTAGAGGTTTTCTTGCTCCAACACACCTGATTTTGATCGCTGGGTGATTAACAGGCTTCTGCCCAATTTGAAGAGTTAATTCAATCACTGAATCAGGTGTGTTGGAGCTGGAAAACCTCTAAAACATGCAGGATAGCGGCCCTCGAGGACTGGAGTTTGACACCCCTGTTCTACAGTGTGATGATCACTGATGATGTGTTCAATGTAATAAGTGACGCTCAAACGTGGCTACTTCCTCATTTTACGGTTTCTGGTTGAATCAAAAGAGAAAAACTCACCGGACACGTTCAGCTGCCCTCCCTCAAACCACTTGATCCTCCCTCGGCTCAGGTCACAGTCTTGGACCCGGTGGAAGGGCCGGATCCAGCTCAGCCTCTGGCGGGCCACGGCGGCCCAGAAGCCGTCGCCGTCGGAGACCGAGAAGTCCTGCAGCGCGTCGCGGCCCGACACCCCCAGGAAGCCCGCAGCCTCCGGCATGAACGCCGCGACGTTCCCGCTGCTTCGACGCACAACATTCAGGCACGGAGGCTCGAAAACGCCGCTCCGACTGAAGGAAGCAGCTGCGGACTTCAGAGCGCATCTGCAGGGAAGCCACATAACGAAAGTAACTCCTTCAGGCTCCGTAGACCGATCTGAGAGAGCAAATCATCTCCGGCGACACTTTAAAAAAGCAGAAGTGTGGAGATATTTTGGAAATCCTGTGTTTGTTGTTGCAGAAAACTTGGAAAGTCCTGAGAGGAAGGGCCTGTTGCGTTAAAGGGCGGGCTCTAATCTGCCGACACTTATCCTGCCTCTGAAGTAGCTGCTCAAGAAAACTGTCTTCACAAGTTTTAAAACACATTATTTTTATTCTAAAATGGGGTTTTCGTAAACCTATTATCAATAGACTGTAATATAGTCTAATTTCCTTTAAAGCTACTTAATGTTATGAAATCAAACATTGAAAAAGATTATCCAGATCTGTATTAAACGATGCAGTTTGAAAGACTACAACAGTAGTTTTCCCACATTTATTAAACTTCTGAAGTGAGGGTCTGCACTCAGTGTAAACAAAACACTTATCGCTGTAGAACAGGGATGTCCAATCCTGGTCCTCGAGGGCCGCTACCCTGCATGTTTTTCTTGTTCCTCTGCTCCAACACACCTGWTTCAGTGAYTGAATTACCTCTTCAAGTTCTGCAGAAGCCCACTCATYGCWCATTCATTCAGATCAGGTGTGTTAAAACAGAGRAACAAGAAAAACGTGCAGGATGGCGGTCCTCAAGGACCAAAATTGCCCACCGCTCTGCTAAAGCGATCCGATTAATTTGAGCTTATCATGCTGCATATCGACTTTTATTATTCAGAGATGTTAATTTTACAGTTACATACACCAAWAAATAAACAAATAACCCACAAATGATAAAACATAAACATAACATGTGTAAATCAAACAAATTGACCAAAAATATTCATTCAATTGTGTATTGTGCATATATGAAGCCCTGGTGCCTGGAGAAAACCCACACAAGCACAAGGAGAACATGCAGACGTCCCACAGGAAGGCCTCAGGTCTGAACCAGTGATCAAACCCAGGACCTTCTTACTGTGAGGCATCAGTGCCAACCACTGAACCATCATGCTGCCCAAATGTGTATAAACAAGTTTKTCTGACTCATCTGAGTCTGCTGTTTTTTAAATGAGTTTGAACCCATTTCAGTGACTCATTTGAAATGTTTCCAGTGATTCAGCTGTTTTCCCGGTGAGTCCACAGACCATTTCATAGTTTTAAAAATCCTGGAATTGGCAAGATCACAGGTCATTTAAAGACTAAACACTTCAACTCATGCAATGTGTTTTGCATGAACAGTATGCTTTTAGTGAAAATTAGCGAAAAACCTGCCAAAGTTCAAAAGAATAAAACTTTAAAAAATAGCTTTATAAAACCWGTAAAAACAATAAACAGGAGCAGCTTTAAAAGTTTACAAGAAAGTCTGGAAGCAACGCATAAAAAATGATGAATGGTGTAAAACTTTTGAACAGTTCATGCACCGAAACATGTTTAACAAGAAAAAATCAAAATACAAGTAATAATCTAGTCATAAAGGTATCAGCGTTCTGTCAAAATATTTTTAAGCATTTCGTTTGACTTGAAGCAGAAATCGAGTTTCTCTATAAAAAAAAACAAACACGTCCCTATTTATAATCCAAATGGCGACCGTTACACTATGTCCACGTCTCAAACGTTATCTCGGGATGGGTGTGGCGACTGGTGAGAAAAACAACTGAATGGCCTCGACTGTTCAGCTGCTTGAACCACAGAAAGTGTCACAATAAAGGCTTGAGCAGCTTGTCTGACCGTGTTAACAATTTATCTCCAGGGATTATAAAACAGTCTCACTGCTGTAGCTTTCACTTTTTACTTCTTTCGTTTTTTCAGTCTTTAGAAATCTTTTGTGTGCTCCGACTGATCTGGAAACACTTTTTGGCAGAGCGGAAGATAATCTTATTTAAACCAGATTTACCTCATTTTCTGTGTGCTTTTGTATGTTTCCGAGATTACAGTACAATGCCTCAGTAAATTCACTGTTTCCCAATGTGATACACGGGGTTAATGTTTTATGAACAAAGATAACGATGATACTGGATGATGCTGAAGATTTGCAGATGACGTTGTGATCTAATGAGAACAGGGAACAGGTGGAAGAGAACTTGGAGAGGTGGAGATATACTTGGAAGAAGAGGAATAAAGAAAAGTTAGCCAGAGCAAAACGAGAGAACAGATGTGTGAAAGAGAGGAAGGCGATGCAGGATTTTGGGTTGACTGTCCAGGACAGAGCGAAGATGTTGAGGTTCTCCTTGGTAGTGAAAGGGATGGATAAGATTAGGAACCATATAATCAGAGGTAAAACAGGTTGAAGGACTGAGAGACAAAGTTATAGACTGACATGTTTTGGACATGTCCAGAGGGAAGACACTATATTGGTATAAACATGGGCGTGGAAGTGGGGGGGAAAGTGGACCTGAGTATCCAGGGCCCAAGAAGGGAGAGGGACCCATGGAAGTCCTGATTTTATTTTTTGGCATGGATAGAGGCCCACCGACATCGAGAGTGTACAGGGCCCAGAATTTGGTGCAACACCCCTAGGTATAAAGATGCAGCTGCCAGGACAAAGACAAAGAGGAGATTGGTGATTCAGTTTCACYAAAGCATGTGTCAAACTCACAAGAGCTTCAAAGATGTAATAACATCTTAAAATGAGCATGGAGCTTTAAATCCAGCGTTGATCATAAACTACATCTCCCATATAATAATATATGCATGTTGAACATTTTACCTGCAAAATGACGGCATCCCAACACTCGATGGAACTGCACAGGGTTCAAGGCAAACTTTGCCGCGTGAAATCTTGCTGCATTTTTGCCAGCTACCTTTGTTGCCGCCCATTTTACCAGGAAGTAGGAATTTCCCAATAACAAGTCGTAAGTTTAAACTGGAACACCCCCTCCAGTGGGAATTCCCTGTCAGAAAATGGGGGAGCTCATAAGACGGGAGGTGAGATGAAACGTTTCACAAAAGAAGAACCCATCCAGAGGACCTACTTTTTTTCTTTTTATTATTTTCATATTTATTTCACATTTAGTCATTCGTACATGTAGTTCCTTTCAGTGTTTTATAAGATGTGTTAAAATGCTGTTTCTCTGCACAGAATACCACATAGAGCTCAGTTATTGTTTTTGCATGCTCATAGCAATGAGACGAGGAACGTGATGTCAAAGTTTATCACAACTGGCCCTTTGAGGGCCGCCATGACGCTCATGTGAAACACGTGCTCTAATGAATAATTTTATTTCTGCATTTCCATAAATTCCTCTTTTTATTTGTAACCAGATTTGGACATTTTGATAAATGTTTTGAACCAAATCAAACCAGAGATAGGACACGGCTCCTCTGTGATCTTGCACTGAAAGATGCGGAAAGAAAATGGAGTTAGCCTTCACCTAACATCCAGCTGATCGCCTCTGAGTCTGATCATATTTACAGAGGACTCAGACTTTAGTAATAATAATATAAAAAACATCTGGATTTGATTTGTTACTTTGATTTTCAGATTTTGATTGCTGTAAATGTAAAAAATATCAGAAAAATATTCACTCTGTTGAACCTTTGCATCAAACGCACACACACACAAATATTCGCCCAGCTATACATTTGGGGACATTCCATTGACTTCCATTACATTCCTACAGCCTAACCCTGACCACAAAGCCTAAGGCTAAACTCACAGGTACCTACCTGACCCTAAAACTAACCTAAACTCAATTCAAAAATAAAAAATAAGTAGGTCCTCTGGATGGGTTCTTCTTTAGAGAAGCGTTTTGTCTCTCCTCCAAGACACTTCTTCTGTCTGATGAGTTTCTTCTTCTTCTTCTTCTTGTGTGGTGTTTTATGGCGGTTGGCAAACAACGGAAGGTGTGCATTACCASCGTCTGATGAGTTTCAGGTGAACTCAGCCTTATAAGCACTGCCTCCACTTGGTGGACAAACAGGTTAGTCAAATGCAAACGAGGGCCATCGCCCAACAATAGGCTTGTTAGCTCTATTTAGTCACATGCAAAAGAGGGCCAATCACCCCATCACCAATAAGTCAGGTGATGGGGCACATGACCCTCTATGAACAATAGAGCTAATCAAGCCTGTTGTTAGGCGATGGCCCACTTTTGCATGTGACTAACCTGTTTGTCCACCATGTGGAGGCAGTGCTTATGGCTGAGTTCACCTGAAACTCATCAGACTGAAGAAGTCTCTTAGAGGAGAGACGAAACGTTTCACTAAAGAAGAACCCATCCAGAGGACCTACTTATTTTTTCTTTTTGATTTATTCTACCTGGATTACTGAGATGCATCTAAACTCAATTCACACCTTGGTCCTAAACCCAACCCCCAACGCACCAATGGCATTTAAAACAAACGGGGACTCGACTTTTGTCCCCAAATGCACCAGTTGTCCCCAAATGTAGGCATTTTGTCTTTAAATTGCCCCCAAATGTCACAAGAAACAAACACATACACGCACACACCACTTTGAACAAAGATGTTCAATTATTAAAACATTTGTAATTTAAATATGACACATTTTAATGAAGCTACAGTTACACTTAGAAGGAAACAACCAGATGTTGAGTGTTAGGAGAGTAGGACGACGGGTCTGACATCTCAGTCTGAACAGCTGGAAATGCAAAGTTTCATTGAATCAACGTTTGGTATTTGGTGCATGTGGCAGTGAAAGCTGGACTCGTCATCACTGGGAGGTCAGAGGTAAAAAAAAAGTATCCCATGATGAGTTCATTGATGAAGGATTGACGCTCAGTTCACATCCTCTGCCTCTGATATTAGAAGTTGCAAGGTTCGACATTTTCAGTTGCTCTTCTCCACCTCCTGCTCTGTCCCCCGACCCTCGGCCTTCTCCTTCTGCGTCGCGCCGCCGTCTGATTTGTCGGAAACAGTCCCGAGCACCATGGCGCTGTGCTCAAGCGCCTTGGCTCGCAGCACGGCGATACTGTTCTCCCTCAGTTCCTCTTTAGAAACGTCCATACTCTGTTTCTCCTCCGCTTCCTCCGTCGGTTTGTCCGCCGTCGWCTCCTGTACGGGTAGCGGCGAGTAGCTGTGGGGTTTTTCTGGGGAGGTGTGTGAAGGTTCGGCTGATTTCTTGTGCATACCTGGAGGGAAGKGAAGATCATTGATATTAGATCTAAACAGGAAAAAGAAGACTTTAAAATACGTCTTGTTCTGATGAGTTTAGCAATGAAAAGAGAAAAAAAATGAAGACATGATMGATTAGAACAAGCCTCTTATTCAATTAGAGCTACACCTAATTGATYTAAACAAATCGATGGACATAAGGTGACATGATCCTGAGGAAGGATTATTACTGTATTGATTAATGACATWCTGATGACCTCATTGATCCCTATATGAATCGAGATTACCCATCTTCCCTTTACAGAAAACACTCAGTTTCACAAAAACACAAAATTTGCAGACAGTTGTTAGCTAGTATTTCATTGCTTTCTTGTCAAARTGACAAATACTGTCTCTGAGTTGAACATTAAAAATTTTCTTTATTGATCCTTTAACCCACATGTGTCAAACTCAAGGCCGGCGGGCCGAATCTGGTCCTTGTTACCATTTTATCTGGCCTCAAAAGGAAATACTTTAAATGTGAAACAGTGTTGTGGTTGGACTTTTCATCCCTGGATTTAATGCATTTTTCCAGAAATTGTCATTTTGGCATGGAAAGAGAAACCAAGAATCAGCTTTAATGTCCTGATGCATTTCAATAATCCAGGTAGAAAAAATGTAAAAGTAAAAATAAGTAAGTCCTCTGGATGGGTTCTTCTTTAGTGAAACGTTTCGTCTCTCGTCCAAGAGACTTCTTCAGTCTGATGAGTTTCAGGTGAACTCAGCCTTATAAGCACTGCCTCCACATGGACAAACAGGTTAGTCACATGCAAAAGAGGGCCATCGCCTAACAAAAGGCATATTGCCTATTGTTAGGCGATGGCCCTCACATGCAAAAGAGGGCCATCGCCTAACAATAGGCTTGATTAGCTCTATTGTTCATAGAGGGTCATGTGCTCCATCACCTGACTTATTGGTTTGGATGCTGTGGTTCTTTGGTGTCGTGTCATGTGTATGTATGAGTGCAGGCGGGGCTCAACGTCTCCTTGTTTTTGTCCTTTTTTTCCCCTCTTTGTGTTGGGTATCGTTGGGCCCCCAAACCAACAAACAAACCTGTTTGTCCACCATGTGGAGGCAGTGCTTATAAGGCTGAGTTCACCTGAAACTCATCAGACTGAAGAAGTCTCTTGGACGAGAGACAAAACGTTTCACTAAAGAAAAACCCATCCAGAGGACCTACTTATTTTTGAATCAACTTCAATCATCTTTTTCTGTATTCTTTTGTTGTTCTAAAGCCAAATAATTAGATTTTTAGCGATGATTATACTTTAATATTTAACAGATTTGCTGGATAAAATGAATGGTAAATAAGAATGTGTTTGAACGTCTTGTGTAATTGACTTTGACCCTCCCAGCTGTAACCTACCCAGTAACCAGGGAGCATAAGAGTCTGAGACGCCGTCCTTGGCTGACTTGAGGATGGACTCAGGCAGCGGGATGGAGTGGCGGACCATGGCACCGTACAGACCGTACTCTGCCATCACGCTACTGCGACCCCAACACTTCTCCCGCTTCCTCCACTTGGCCCGGCGGTTCTGAAACCAAACCTGCGAGACGGATCAAAACAACACAACCTTAAACCTCTGGAGTTTCTTTACTTTGTTCTTTAGACTGAAATGTAAAATACAACAAACTTTTTTTTTTTTTAGAAAAAGGGGACCAAAATGATGGTCATCAACTTGAAATTTTGCATTTGAATTTCACCATATGAGGAAAAGTTTGCAGGTTTGGGTCATGCTGTATGTGGCAACAAGGCAACCAAAGCATTTAAAGACATTTAGTGTATTTTAATTACTTTGGAGAGACTCTTTTAATTAGATGTCTTCTTTAAAGTGCCTGTGACATCAAATTTTTGTAATAAAAGCTAATGTATTTTTGGAAGGATAACACTGATAACATACTGTAAAAAAGATTTCATGCCACTGAGATAAACAGTTGTTGAGATATTTGCATGTGAAGTGACAGGAAGTGATGTCAAAGGCGATTGTCTGCATGCGAACAGAGCGTTGCTAAAGCGGCTAACAACACAGACTATAGCAAATAATCTGATGTTTCTTTAGATTATTTTAATCACTATCATAGAGAGATGAGACAGCGGTGTCACTTCCTGTTTCACTTTGAGCCCAGTTCAAAAGAAAATAAGYGAGTTATGTGACATAATGGGTAAAATCATGTGTATTATGCCACGTTTCCTATTTTCTTTGACTTTTTGTATTTGTATTTCATGAGTGTGCATGTCACAGGCACTTTAAAGCTTCACTGAACATATCCTCCTGGGTTTAAGAAKAATAGTGACACCTGCTGGACGTTTTTTTTAAATGTTTCTAATGAATGGAGAGATTGTTGCTCTTTGTTCATTTCATTTTCTATAGTTTCAGCTGATAAAATCTCAATACGTCACTTGTGTCACTGTAAGGATGAAACCTTTGGCTCCTCGGTGGCTAAACAGATTTATTATTTCATTATAAATAAGAAATTTTTAAAAAGGGAGATCCTTGATTTGGCAGTAAGTTGCATTTAGCAGTAAAAAAAAGATCACGACTTCAAAACCACTCAGGTAAAATGTTCATCGGGTAAAAAAATAAAAATAAAAGATGAGCCCCAGGTGAGCAATCAAGATCCCACCAACCCCTACCCCCATCTGAGTGTGATTAGCGGGTCGTTACCTCCTCTAAGAGGTTAGAAAGAATCAAAGGGGTTGATTGAAAAATAAGTTCATTTCCAGTGGTCGATGGGAGAGAGACTCATTAAATATCAGGGGAAATTAAAACTCGGAGCAGCCGGCTGCAGCCCCCCTGACCTCTGCTCATTTACTTCTTTGTGTCGTTTCATTTCTGAGCTGAAGGCCCGAATCATTCAGATCTCTCTTTTAATGAATTATCAGCAGCTAACATGAAAGGGAAAGTCAGAATGATGCTGGAGATTATTATGGTTCAGGTGTAGATCCAGCTGAAGTTCTATTTTCTATTTGAAAATGTTTTGCTTCTCATTTGGAGGTTTAGTTCAAAAGCGTGAAACTCCACACACGCCACTTTATTTATTTTCTTTTCTATTGAGAAAAACCTCTGGATAGGAAGCAACGTTTTCAGCTATAGAATAAAAGTCCAGTTGTTGTGTTTTTTTAAATGTTTAAATTTTCTGAGTTCATCCACTGATAAGAAAGGCTTTGTCTTTCTATAYTCACAGGGGCTTCCCATTGATTTCCATTCATTTTTCATTCACTTCTATAACCCGGATCCTAAACCCAACCCCAAAACAGTATTTCATCTTACTGGACCCCAAAAGGAGCAGTATATTTTGGAAAAATGAGCATTACAAAAAAGCAAATTCTAGAACACACACATACACAGAGTTTTATTTGTTTGGACCTCCATTAAGTTATACAGCCTAACCCTGACCCATTGTCCTAATTTGTAACCCAAAAAATAGTGTTTTTCCCTGCAGGCAAAATGTCCAGGGGTGATCTAATGTCAAAATGTGTCCACACAACTATAGCATAAAATGCACGCACGCACGCACGCACACACACACACACACACACACACACACACACACACACACACACACACACACA